CGCGCACACGCGCACAGAACAGGCGCGCACACCGGTCCGCACACGCCGCAGTGATTGGGGCGGGCTCCCCAGCGACCAGGCTGAGGCTGGGGACGGTCAGACCCGCCTGGCTTTACGTCCCGCCGCTCCCTCTCTGCGTGGCACGGGACGAGGGACTCGATCCCCAGGAGCCTCCGTTTTCACCTTGGTGAAATGGAAACAGTAACCGTGTCTGCCTCAGAGAGCTGTTTGAGAATTAGATGAGACGATAGAATTTACCTGCCCAGTAAAGTGCGCACACAGAGCCTGCCTCAGAGAAGCTCTCGGTAAACCCTGTCCGGGAGCAAAAGGGCAGGGAGAGTCGCTGGAGTATCGGGAGGACTCCCTTCCTTCTCCCGGTAGCCAGAAGGGGGCGCTGCTGCCCAGCCTCGCGGGCTTGGGGTCCTGAGCACCCTAGGCAATGGGGAGGAGATGGGGAGGCCCCGCCTTTTAATACCACCACCACCTAACACTTACTGAGCCAGGCCCTAACCTAGACACCTTGACTGCGTTGCCTCACTCAACCGTCACACAAGCCTATGAGGTTACACTATTACTCATTTTACACATAAGGAAGCTGAGGCACAGAGAGGTTAAGTACCTCACTTAGGGTCACACAGCTAACAATTCAATCCTATGCAGCGTGGCTCCCAAGCCCCCTTTTTTTTTTAAATTAAAGTCTATTGGGGTGACAATGACTAGTAAAGTTACATATGTTTCAAGTGTACCAAGCCCAATCCACTCCAAACTAAAAGCTTTGTTTTGTACAGTGGTGTATCTAATGTGCCAGGGCTTAAAACAGTGCCTGGCACATAGTTGGCACTCAATAGGTATTTGTTGAGTGAATAACAGTGCATACTATGTACCACTTTACATATATTATTTCATTTAATCCTAATAACTTTTTTACTTAGCCACTATTATTACCTCCACTTTACAGATAATTGAGGCTTACAGTCGCTAAGTACTTGGGGACTCTTGATTATCACCTTAGAACAGCCAGGGCCAAAGCCTGTGACTCAGTGTTCACTGGGCCATTCCCCTGCCCAGAGTCAGATGGGCTCCCTGCTTACTGCCCGAAGCCCAGCCCTTCAGTCTGGCCTGTGAAGCCTCCACTCTGCAGCCCTGACCCAGGCTTCTTACAGCTGGACTGTTCAGTGGGCCCACTGAATGCATGCTTTCGGTATCAGCATGAGTTGGATTTGATGTTTCAAAAAAGCATATGGAAAATCAGAACATTGTGGGAGTTCCTTATACTTAGGGTTCGTCACTGCCTCTGTATTTTTTATTATACCCAGTGGGTGGGCACCATAACATTTCCAAGGCTTACCATCTGAATGTCTTCATTCACCTAGGGCTGGGGCAGTATCTCTGGTGCATTCCCCACCCCCTTGCACTCTCACATCTCTGTGCCTTTGTTCACACTCTTCTCTTCCTGCATCTCTGGCTAAGCTGACTCATCCTTCCTTCCAGGATTGGCACCAACACCCCTTCCCAGAAAGCCTTTCCAGATGCCTGTGGGTGTGTCCTCCCAGCCTTGTATCTGCATCTTCCTGTCCTATGCCATGACGATAGGTGGCTGGGACTGTGTTTAGGGTAAGATGGATTTGACAGGGACCTCTGGGGACCATGGGCAATATGGACTGATGGACAGAGGGGAGGCCATTGGAAGCCCCTGTAATAGAGACAACTTGGGGCCCGTCCTGAAGATGCTGCATTTGTGTGTATGGGGGGCGGTGTCCTCATTTTGCTGCCCCTTCCCTCCCCTTAACCCTGATCCATTTGAAGAAGCTACCCCGAGCATTCTCTGCGTTGCACACATGGGGAAACAGGCCAGAGAGGTGATGACTTGCATAAAAGCCCCTAGCTAGAAAACCACATAATAGGTCTGGCCCCAAAGTTGGGGCCACCCGCCAGTACCTTCTACTGGGCTTTATTGCTAATTGGGATGGGCCAGGAAACCAATACTTTCCTTCTCTCCATGTCAACATGGCCAGCTTTGTTTAATCTGCTATGTGTGGATAAGTGCCTGTGGGGGATGAGAGAGAGAGAGAGAGAGAGAGAGAGAGAGAGAGATCTCCATCTACCTGCCCACCATGGGGCTTTCTGTACAATATGGCCCTGTGCCCATGGGAGATTGAGCTGAGAAAGAGGGGGGCAGCAGCACCTGGGAGGTAAGGTTCTGAGTGTGGGGGAAGTAGCTTTGAACACAAGCAGTCTGTAGAAGCGAGTGTATGCCTCCCATCTTGGCGTGGAGGTGAAGGGCCTCCCAGTGTCCTCCAGGCCCTTTGAGTTCCTTTATTCTTGGGAATGTTCCCCCAGGGAGGTCCCCTGGGTAACTCCTTCCCCCGCCCCTGCAGAATGGAGCGTGGACCTCACCTTGCTGGGGGCCTAGTGTCTGGAAAGAGATGCTCTGAGCAAGAGGTCCCATCCCCTGGGGTAGGAAGGTGGGGGCTGTGAGGGATCAGATCCTCAGGCCTGGAAGGCAGCGGCCCCTGGGGAAGGGGGCGACAGCTGTGGTGCAGGGCCAGGAACCTGACACCAGGGGTAGGCCCCAAACACCCTTAGGGAAGAGCAGGGGGAGGGGGGCAGTTTCCCTGGGAGCAGCAAGCAGCAGCCCGACCTTCTGGTGTGTGACTCCCTCCCCCCACCTGCCCCTGCTACATTCCTCCCATTTTCCTTTGCTTGGAGCTATCCCCACAGACCCTACACCCACTCAGGCCATGGGCCAGGCCTGCCTTTTCCCAGGGGCCCTTGGGGGAGATATTCTAGGTTCCAGACGGGGGAGATGAGCTGGGACAGGCAGTTCTCATTCCTGCCTTTGGCTCCAGGTCTAGCTCCTCTTCGGGGCTGGAGGAGGCCCCATCAATCAGTCCTCACTGTCCTGTGGTCCCCAAATCTTGCAGTGTAGCAGAATGCCCACACCCCACAACATGCTCTGAACAGGGCCCAGAACCAGTATTTTATAAAAGCTGCTCAGGCAATTCTATGGTGCAGCCACCTAGGAACCAGGTGACAGTGCTGGGTCAACTGCACCCTCCCCCAGTGGGGGAGCTGAGGGTGTAGGCACCCAGCTCTGGGCAGAGCTCCTCTGGTGTGTGAGGAGGAATGAGAAATGGGGGCGGGGAGTGAAGAAAAGTGCAGAGGAGGAAGAGGGCGAAGATGAGTGGAGACAGGGAGGGAGAGAATGAGGCAGGGGTTGGAGGGGAAGAGGAAAGAGAAAGTGGTGGGGAGTGGGTAAGGAGCAAAGATGCAAGGGTGCCATTTATCTTGGCTGATCTAGGATTGTTTTATTTTTGGTTGAAGAGGGAATTTGATTTTCAAGGCTGCAATCTGAGGGACCAGCCAGGACGGTGTCTCCTGGAGCCGTGGGCCTTTTGTAGGCTGCAGGGCCCTCCTGGTGATGTTTTCTTCGGAAGAAGGCCACTCACTGCCTGTGGATGCACTTTACTCTGTGCCAGGCATCAGGCTCAGCGCCAGTGTCACCTCCTTGTCTCCCCGGTGATGGCCCTTATGGTTACAGCCTGTTGGGGGTGCAGCCAGGACTCCCCCCAGTCCACCCTCATACCATCACGCTTCACACATACTGTTTCATGGTGAATTCGCAGGAAACCTGGTGCCCTTGGGCCAGCCAGTAGCCCGTGTGAATGTGGTACGGAAAGAGCGCTGAGCGTCTCCTCCCCAGGGCAGGGTAGGGGCACATCGTGGGGGAAATGGATGCCTGGTGTGCCAACTCAAGTTCACACCTGTGAGTAACAGAGGGCCTGGCCCTGGTCTCCAGCGATGGGCATGGCCTCCTTCCCCAGCCCTGCACCGGAGCCACAGATGAGAGCTGGGTTCCATGTGGGAACCTCGCACCCGGTCCTTCATACCCAAGATTGCTGTGCTCAAGGCTACACTGACAGTCACAGGTTTGCTGAGAAACGAGCAGCCAGGATCACTGTGCAGCCTTGACGCCCTGCCTTGAGGGGGATGGCGGGAACCTCCGTCTGTTGAGGAAGGGCCTGCAAGAGCCCAGAAGAACTGAAACCGAGTACCTGCACACAGTGGGTGCTGTAAGAGCCACCTCTGACTGGGCGACAGGCTGCAGCTGTCCCTCGCACTGCCTTTTCCTCACTCTTCCATCACCCATCAGAGAAGAGGTGACGCTTCTTGTCTCGGCCTGTGAAGTTGGTGGTGGGAGATCAGAGGTTGGACTACTGACCCAGGGCTCTCTGTGCAACTCCACACCAAGTTCCTCTTGGTAGTGGGCAGGGGTTTCCCTGGGAACCTCATCCTCCACCCCCAATGGGCTGTGACCACAGGTGCAAGGCTCAGGAAACAGGCTTCAGTTGACGGGAGCTGGGCCTGGAATCTATAGGCTCACCCCGCATCCGAGAGGCAATGTCCCAGAAAGACAGAAGCCCTAAATCCACAGGGTCCCGGCTCCTCAGGGAGCCAGGAGGGGGACGGGCCCTGCAGAGACGCCCACAGAAACAGCAGCCAGGGATGTCCCAGGATGGGAAGGCCCTAGCGGTGGGACACCCTGGTACCCTGGGCTCACCCAGGGGCAAGTGGTTACTGAGAATCATGTAAGTTCTAAAGCCTGTGAACTAGTTCCCATATTTCCAGTGTTTTATACAGATAAACTCAGAGCATGTTCAAGGTTCCCTCTAAAGATAGCACTCTTGCTTGTCTGCGTGCTAACCTCTGAGGAAGTGAGAAAGGGAAGCATCCCTGGGTATGTGCTCACGAGGAGATAACCCAGTCAGTGCCATCACTGAGACAGTGTTCTGATGGGAAGGGCACTTGCCCAGTGTCACACGGTGATGGGCTCAGAGGGCTGGACCGCTGTTCCATGGCTGCCCTCCTGTGGGCCTGCCAGTCTAGGGCGAAAAAGGGCTTTGCGAGTGCAGGTGGCCAAGTCAGGTCTCCCCCTCCCCTTCGTCCTCACTGGTGCAACTCTCAGGTACCACTGGGTCCAGGGATGCCCGGGTCTCCAAGTACTGGGCCTTGAGCTGCTCCAGCTCCCGCAGCTCAGCCTCTAGCGGCTCCCGGTAGGCTGCCCGCAGCTGCCGCAGCTGTTTCATAGGAAAGGGGTTCATGTCATTGAAGGCGATGTCCATCAGCTTCCTGAGGGGAGAGCACAGTCAGCCCAGAGCGCAGCGTCCCCTTCCCAGGCACACCTGTGTTCATTCTGTCCATGTGGCCGAGGTCCCTGGACCCCGCCCTCAGGGAGCTCACCTTCCAGAAAGGAAATGTTGAAAAAGAAGATAGTTTCCACCCAAGTTGCATGTACTGAGACAGGAGGAAGTTTAGGGCTGTTTATGGGAGCACTAAGGAAAAGTTAGTCAGGGAAGGCTTCCGGGAGGGAGTGACACATGAGCAGGTGTGTGGGTGGTGGGAGTGGTGGAGGGGGCAGGCGAGTTCTCACCGGCTGTTGCAAATGGTCTTGGTGAAGAAACGCAAGTACTGGTAGATCTCCAGGCTGTCTTGCAGCCTCAGGATCTCTTCCTCATTGTACTTGAAAATGGCCAAGGCATAGCGGAACACCACCTGGAGGGTAAAGTGGGGGCTCAGGTGGGGCATGGGGGCCAGGGCAGGTAATCCCGACGGAGGAGAACCCACACACCAGGCAGTGTGGGAGTCCCTGGACAGGCTGCAGAGGTTGAAAGCTTGGAGGTGACACGTGTGCAGGGAGGCCATGGGGGAGGGGGAAATTGGATATCCCAGGGGGAGCACAGCTTGGAATCTGGGTATTGGGGCTGAGTCCCCACTCTATCCTGACTTGCCCTGGGACCCTGAGTAAGGCGTTGGCCCAATGGACCTAATGGGACTAATACGGTCCTTACATGGGGCTTCAGCAGAAAATAAATGAAATGAGAAATCCGAGGGTGCTCTGTAAACTGTGAGGTGCAGTATGTTAGCAAGCAGTGTGGAAACAGGGGTAGAGGGTAGGGGAAGGGCCTGCCCAGGGTCTCCTAGCAAGGTCGGGGCAGAGCTGGGACCAGACTCAGTGCCAACCTCCCAATCCAGGGCTCGGTCCTAAGAGGGAGAAGGAGGGGTGGGGGGTTCGATGACTGGAGGGGCAACGGACAGAATAGGAGTGTGCCTCCTGCGCCATGTTCCTGCTTCCTCTCCAGGGAAAGGAACCTCCCTCCAGCCAATTTTAGGAGGCATCCTTGTAGGCAGAACCATCACTTTCCCTCGTGTGTGCAACAGTTTACAAAGCCATGCTCCCAGAAGACGGCCTCAACAGCCCTGACAGATGTCGCTGTCCTCCCATTCTCCAGGGGCAGACTCAAGACCCAGAGGGTGAGGGCAGGCCCAGGACTTGCCGGGACACCCTCCGGCAGCACCCTACCTTGATGCCCTCATATAGGAAGGCGTCCCAGACCTGGAGGAGGATATTGCTGATGAGACTGTCGGCAAAGACCACGAGGAACCAGTTGAAGGTGATGAAGGAGAGGTCCACACGGTGTTGCCCCAGGTGGGCCATCAGCTTGGGCAGCTTCTCCGAAAGGAGGTCCTGGAGCACCCGCTGGTCCACCTGGAGTCCGGAGAGAAGGCCCACCATTAGCTGCTGCCCCAGGGAAGGGGTGCCTCCCTCCTTCACACCCAGCCAGTCCACACACAGTCCTGGAGCTGCTCAGCATGGGTCCCGCCCTGCCCAGGGGGTGCAGAGCACAGGGAAGCGCTAGAGAGCAGCCTGGCTGGGAGAAGGTACCCTGACAGACACTCTGCTCCTGGGCGGGAGCATCGGACTTTGGCGCAGGTCTCTGGGGGCTGTTAAGGTTTTGGCCAGGGCAGTTTCGACTCCTTCCCTGCCTGAACCTCGAGCCGAGCAGGAGCTCAGGCGTGTATGGGCAACTCCATGGCTGTTTCTCTACACCCATTTTGGGCCTGACGCATCAGATGCTCAGTGCATGTCTGGGATGAGGTCCTGGGGAAGGCGGGCGTTGGGGGAAATCACAC